TTTTATTATATACATGTGCAAGTGTACATCTGTAAATCACGCAAATGGAACCCTCAGATTATGTTCAAAATTAATTAATCCCGAAATAAATTTATACACAATTATTGAAACTAAGATTTTTTGCATGACCTCAATTGAAATTAGTGTCAATGTTGACCAGCGTGTTTAGTGATGTGTAACACTGATACCCAAATAACATGCATTGACTTTCTGCTAATTATGCCCAAAGGCGATTGAAACCTAAGGTGTTGACACCATTTTATACAATCCCATTGTATTAACCGGCCAGGTAAACACAAACAAAAGAAATAAGAAACAAGTCACAATTTCCGATATTTTCAAATGTTTTTTTTTTAAATAAATGTACTCTTTCAATGACTTGTTTATAAATTAAAAACTAATTCATAAATAAATCCCGGAATAATTGTTCATGTTGTTTATGTGACAGAAGAATGGTAGAATAATTTTATTTCATGGTCAATAAATAAATTATTAGGTTTTATTTGAGGGTGGTAAAAAATAGCATGGAGTGCTCTTTTTTAAGCATGGTATTAGCTTTTTCAATTAAGAAAAAAAATCCAGTACAGTACATTCCTCTAAATACATGTATCTTACTGAAATGACAAGTTTGTTTGTTTTTTGTTTGTTTTTTTTTTTAAATAGTGCTAATGCAAACTTTGAGTACATACGTAATTTGACAGCATTAATTAATTAAATAGGCCTAGATAATTTTTTTTCAAACACCTGTATCGAAGTTTAATTTAAGGGCTAAAAATCATCCTCTGACTTACCTTTATAACTACTTTTATCTTCTTAAAATTAATTCTAGACTACAATTGTGTAAATTTACAGCCCTCTGAAGACATTTTGTCATAACATGTATAACTATCTCTATTTAATTTTTGTAAGAAATCAATACTTGTTTTATATATATATATATATATATATATATATATATATATATATATATATATATATATATATATATATATATATATATATATATATTTGCTTTTATCTTAAACACCTCTCTGCAGAAAGTAAACAAATTAAAACAACAACAAGGAGCTGCATATTCAGAATACACAAGGGGCGGAGCTATCATGTCACTCAGAACCTTTTTCACGCATGAGTGAACAAAGCAGTCCCAGAAAGCAGTCACAGGGACTGCTGGGACTGCTGGGTCTGCTTTCTAGAGCAGTCCCACAGCAGTCCCAGAGCAGTCCCATAGCGGTCCCAGAGCAGTCCCACAGCGGTCCCAGAGCAGTACCACAGCAGTCCCAAAGCAGTCCCGGAGACTGCTTTCTGGGACTGCTTTGGTGTCAGGTTGGGTCTGGTTGGTACTGTAGCTCGGAAACAACCTGTCAGTACTTTTACTCCAAAAATGAAAGTATTGTTTGTTTGTTTATTATTGTTTAACGTCCCTCTCGAGAATTTTTCACTCATATGGAGACGCCACCGCTGCAAATTTTGACCTATACTCGGCACTTAGGGCCATTGAGCAGTGAGAGATCTTTTTCGTGCCAACACCTACTGCGACACGGGACCTCGGCTTATACAGTCTCACCCGAAAGACCGGTCTCCACGTCCTACAGTGGGATTCGAACCAGCGACGTAAGGATCAACTCCTTACTCCGCGACTCTAGAGCAGACGCTCTAACCACTACGCCACGCAGGCGACAAAAAAATGAAAGTATTCTCCGTTCTTATTTATGATAACGTATGTATGGATTTTTGCATTTATAGAAACATCTATATATTAATCAAAGTAAAAGAATACAGTATCTAAAAAAAATGTCTTTTCAGTCCTTGCGGTGCTTTGCTTTTTATTGGATCATGGAAGTGGCTTCAATTCTATTGATAAGATATCGTATGCATTGATTTTTGTGTATGATTTTTGTGTTTAGAAAACATGCCTGTTTATACTTAACATTCCTGTTTATACCAGTTATAAACAAGAGGCCCATGGGCCACATCGCTCACCTGAGCACACTGGCTAGGAAGAAGCAGAATCAGTTCAGTATATTGAAAAGTTTTATTGGGGGGGGGGGGTGGTAAATTTACACGACCTCAGGATGCTTCTATATCAATATTACTTATCATGGCTTTGCTTTTCTTAAACAGAAGATTTTTAAAGATTTTTTTCCCTATGTTAAGCTATGATTACTCTTGTGGCCCCACCCTACCCACCGTAAATTTAAACAAATTTGAATCTACAGTACCTGAGGATGCTTCTTCAATAATATAACTAATCATGGCTTTGCTGTTCTTGAGCAGATTTTCTTCCCGATGATTCTTATATATTCTCATGCAAAAGTTTGACCTCTGTTGTGCCCCAATAGCTGGGGGGTCATGATTTGAACGAACTTGATTTTACAATACCTAAGGTTGCTTCTTTATAAATATGACTTATAATGGTTTAGGTGTTCTTGAGAAGATTTCAAAGATATTTATTATGTAACGTGTATGATCAGGTTCTAACAAGGGATATATAGGTTTTCCTTTTAGTCTGAGTTAATGATTGGAATAATATTAAGACAGCTATATCTGAGGGTATATCACATACAATTGAACTTCGTTATCTCGAACACGGTTATCTCGAATCCACTGGATATATGGAAGTGATTACTTCTTGCGTGTAGAAAATCCATTTTTTCCGTCCAAAATTTACATATCTGTGCTAAAATAGATGCCTCTCTCACTTTTGAAGTGGTATTTGCTTAGGAAAACAGCTTAATGTTTGGCCAAGTCTTATAATTTTGTGAAAAGTGTGAAAATACTTTCGGTTCAATATATTTCTTGATAAGTTTTAGAATTGTATGAAGTTTTCTCACTGCAAAGTTTCCGGGAAGATTTTCAAGCATGGTATTTTTACGTTTGACACAATTTAAATTTCTTAATTACATTTCCGTTGAAAGAAATATTGAAAAACTACAAGTGTAACTCTTCTGTGTGGGGAATAAGAAATATTCTTTGTGGTATATATCTTTAACAGAATAAATGTATTAAGAATAGCACTTTGTGGATACATATATCTATACAAATACCTGTTTTTAAATTGATTATTGAATATTAGTTTATACAAGCTGCTAAACATTTCATACCTGAAATATCCTTTTTTATACCCCCTAATCGAAGATTCTGGGGCATAAAGTTTGGCCCTGTCCGTCCCTCTGTATATCTGTCTATTTGTCCGCAGAAACGTTAGACCTGCTCATATCCAAAGAAAATCTAATGAACCAATTATCTTCATTTATATGCTAATTGTTTTGGCAAACAGTTAAAAGAAATTGATAGTAATATACTGTATATATGTTATTAGCTTGTAATACCCCAATGAATGGAGACACCTTGTTTTCAAAGAAAAAACGCCACATTGACGAGTATAATACATTCCAACTGAGACCAGCTTTTGTTTGGTGCTGTTCAAAACTGCAAACCAAAGTATTTTAATTTTTTTTAACATTCTACTTTATTTATCTAATCATAAAGTGATACGATTCTTAATTCAAAATATTTACATTTGCTATGTTTTTCTACTAAGCCAACTGTGCAATTGATTTGAAGTTCATTTTTGTGCATACTCAAGCGTAGAAATATACACGGTGAAACTCGCGCTAAAGTGACGTCACAATAAGGCTACAGAGACGTTAATAAAAATGTAACGATATAGGGCAGCAAGAAATTCAAATATTGAGCATAATATTGCTGCTTTTGAACTTGTAAAATGTAAATATAAGGAATGTTTTTAAGTTTAGTGTGAATTATTGGTGTGTAAATCACACAGACTTGCACGTAGGTATATTTTTCATGAAGCGCTAGCACGCTTCATGAAATATGCCTACGTGACAAGTCTGTGTGATTTACACACCAATAACTCACACAAAACTGAAAAACATTCCTTAAATAAAACCGTAAACACGGCGAAGTGAGCTTTCGATGAATTAAGATCAGCTTTTGCTAAATTCTTCATTAAATACACAATAACATTGGAAGAGTACGGTTTTGGGTGTATATATGAATAAAAGCACTTTGTGCAGTTATTACGCTTACAAAACTTGAATAATTCCTTATTGACTTTCACTACTGTCAACAGACAGATAGAAATATAGCTAAACCCAACTGCACATGTATTAATTTATGTAGTAAATAACTCCTTTCAAGTTTATGCAACAGTTCGTGTTTGCTTTTATTTCTTCCTTTTTTTTATTAGTATTAAAAATACAATTTTAGGGATTAATTTCTTTCATTAATTTTTTTATTTATTAAGTAAATCGAACATTTTTATCACTTTTTTGTCTTGTTGAGCCAAAACCAGTTATATCAGGCATAAGAATGCTGCACAACGATGACAGGAGGCGCTATATTGGCAAACGCCTGTGTTTGATAAAAAAGAAATATTTGTAAATCACGGAGATTAAAAGGTTAAAAATCTGCATTCTTTTCTTAAGTTCAATTTTCCTGCATATTCTTTCTTTTCTTAATAACACAAAGAATATTAAATGGAGGAAATTGAAATACTTTTACAAATAAACATGTTATCTCAAAAAAGGAAATTATTTACATGTAGTTTGAAAATTAGGATCACAGAAAACACCAAAAATGGCAAAGATTTTAAAGTTTTGATTTCCTTTTTATGCCCTTTACACCATTTTTTTCTTACATGTATAAAGAAGGAATATGTAACCATATGGATAATTACTATAATTTTAGAAGATGAAAAAAAAAATTAGCCCTTAAATTTTTTTATCGCCTGGTTAAAAAACACTCTTCGTAAGCATTGTGTGGTTTTCTTTCCTTCTTTTTTTTCTTTTTTTAGGGGTGGGTGGGATTGGACCTAAAATGATATCAAGCATTAGAATGTTGCACATACAGGCATTTTTATGCATTTAAAAAAAAATAGATTATACCTCCATTAGTTAAAATTGTGAATTCCACCAGTAAGAATACTGACAGAAAACTGAAACACCTAAAACTAAGTTCTTCATTCCGTTGTACAGGTTGCGCTAAAAAGGGAGTTTATGGCGTTAACTGTGATCTACCCTGTCCTGTCAACTGTCAGGAACAAAGATGTTACATAACTAACGGAAGTTGTCTGGGATGTAGGGCAGGATGGACGGGAGACAAGTGTGATAAATGTACGAAGTGAAAAAAAAGAGTAATTATAGAACCAACCTAATTAAAATTAGGCTTGTATTTTCGCTCCTCTACTTGTATTGAAGCATATAGTAGAGGAGCAAAATACAAGTCTAATTTTTATAAGATTTTTGTAAATTAATATTTTACCGATATCGTGTAGACAGCAAAAAGATTTAAATTAAGTCTTTCTTTTATTCATTTCATAAACATTCAAATGCATAACAATTATGGACATTTTTTATCATCATAATACCATAACTTTTATTGCCGTTAGTATTATTATCATCAAAGTTATCCTAAGAACAAAAATAATAATAATAACTATATTGTCACTTTCTTTTTTTTTACTTAATGAAAACGCTTTTTTAGAATAAAATGTTTAGAAAGATCTAAAACTTTAAAGGCATATACGAGCATTCCAGACAAACAGCCTTTTTTTTTTTTTTTTTTTTTCAATTCAAAAGCATTTTAAAGACATAATACATTTAAAACATTTCTGTGGTTTTATACCATTATTAAATCAATGCAATCGATACAGACAAATTATGATTTTTTTCTTTTTTTCCTTTTTTTTTTTTTTTTAAAATATAACACTGTTTACGACACTACTCTCGAAATAAAAAAAAATCATTGAAAGAATCTATCCTACTTCAAAAGTAGCTGATCAGAACTTTTTTTCATTTGAATAGAATGTCAGGCCGTTCGTAAATCATAGAATCTTTTTCAACAGTGTGCCCTACTGGATGGTATGGACTTGGATGTGAACACAGATGTATTGGACATTGCCAACACAACGCCCCCTGTCATCATGAGTCAGGTCGTTGTGTAGACGGTTGTGCTGCTGGATGGATGGGATCCTTGTGTAACAAAGGTTAAGTCATTTTCTTATATTTGCCAAAAATTCCATTTTCCGTAGATTTTTTATTAGGTTTTATAAAAATCAATATATCTGCGGTTTTGTTACTGTAGACCAATACCTTTTGCATTCAAAATCTCTAATCAGTGAACATTGTGTTTGAGTGAAATACTGCAAGAACTCAACATTAGGATTGATCTTTTTATATTATGTTATTGATGATGATGACATATCTACTTCCCATCCTTTTAAAAGAATGGTTCACATGATCACCTATAAACTAGGTACAGACTGTGTGTTTCTATTTATAAAGTTGGAAACAGTCTTCTAAAAAACAATAATTGTGATGACGTCATGTAAGCCGATTTCTACATAAATATTTCTAAATAAAGATACTTCAACTCCTACTTGTATTTGTAATTGTGATGCCATGCATGTAATGATATGTCCTCACAAGAGGCAACCTAACAGAAAGCGGACCTAAAGCGAATCTTGGTGGTTCGCTTTCCTAGTTCTCTTTAGGTTTGCTCGGAGTCTGCACGCCTGCACCTGTTGTTTCTTGATCATGTGATATGTTTGGGCCAATCAGATAACTTGGATCGATAAAGATTGATTGTATGTTGTTTTACGTCCCGTTCGAGAATTTTTCACTCATATAGAGACGTCACCATATACAAGTGAAGGCCTTCAAATTTAGACCCTTACTCGGCACTCAGGGCCATTAAACAGTGAGGGTTCTATATCGTGCCAACGCCTACCATGACACGGTGCCTCGGTTTTTTAGTTCTTAACCGAAAGATCCGAAACTTCACTTAAAAGTGCCGAGTGCTTGGCGAAGGAATAGTTGCTACCTATTTTTATCGACTTAGGTGTCGCGGCCGTCATTCGATTACAGGAAGTTCCGATCACGTAGCGAGCGTTCTACCGACTGAGCTACAGTGATGGTAGGGAACGATTAAGAAAATACACCTATAATTCAACAAACATAGAGAGCGGATATCATATGCAAGCATGTGCATCCGATCGTAATAAAGTCTAAGATCCATAAATCAGTCAATAAATAAAACATTAAATAGTTATATGATGTAAATAGTTTTTGAATAAAAATATGTATATTGGTACAACGTACATCCTTTTATTTAACTCAATTACAGAGTGTGAAAATGGAACCTACGGCCAAGGTTGTATTCATAAATGTAGCGGAAACTGCTTGAAAAGTTCTCACTGCAACAAAGTAACAGGCAATTGTGATTTAGGTTGTAGTCCTGGGTATATAGGAACTCTCTGTAACAAGAGTATGTAGAAGTTATCATATTTTGAATTTTCATCCAATTACTTTATCCGAATTAACTCAGTATACGTCACCTCTTTATATTTCTCCATCCGTTAAATAAAATTCATTTGAATATATTTTTTGACAGTTTGTCCTATTGGAAAGTTTGGAATCCTTTGCAGAGAGTCATGCAGTGGTCACTGTTTAAATGACACAAATTGTAATCATGTAAATGGAAGTTGCAACAAGGGTTGTGACAATGGATACACTGGTGTTACGTGCAACGAATGTAAGAAATACACATGAGTACTTAAGGGGTTTAACACATTTCTTATTAACTGTTCAATAACATGAAGCTTGAAAAATAGCTGCACTATAGTATTTGATAAAACTTTCGATATTCAGCCTCTTCCAAAAGAAAACAAATAAAATAAAGTGTCACGTGGCACTGTGACATCATAAGTGTCAATTCTGAAAATAAACTGATCGTAAGGATAAACAAATCAAGTAGATTTTGACGTTTTTTTAATCATCTTTACGAGAACATGAAACGTGGACATTGACTATATTACTTTAGTAAAGTTGAACCTTATACGACTATAATTGAACTTCCAGAAGTGAGAAAAAACAGACAATATTCGCAAACAAGCTTGGAACAAATCGACTGCTGATAATCAAAAAAAAAAAAAAAAAAAAAAAAGGAAAGCCTTAAAATAACGTGTTTTTTTTTTTTTTTACATTTAATCTTTGTAATTATTTAAACGTACGCCGCCATAAAATCTGAAGGGTGATTGCTAAAGAATCCCATTGATGAAATTAAAAAAAAGAAAAAACCCACATATTGGACATAGAAAAACTATGACTTTGATGCTAATTTTTACATTCATGACAGAGGCCTATGATTATTTCTTTTTAAAGAAGAAAAAGAAAAAAAAAACTCCCTTACGTTTTACGCTAAGAACAATATTTTATTAACAAAATATAACAAGTAAAGAAACTCTTTCGATAATGAAATGTAATGCAAATGAGGATGATAATGCTAAATTTGCAATAAACGGATTTAGAGCAATAGACTTGTTCAATATTCCAGTTCGATTTTTCCTGTCAATTTTCATAGTCTAACCCGGCAATTCTTAATGTAATACATTATATAAGATGTAAAGCACTCACGATTGCTAGAAAAAAATCTAACAGAAAATACTATAGTTAATTATGTTTTACTATAGTATCAAAGTTTTCACTAATAGTAAATCAAAAGTTTCACTATAGTTAATGAAAGTATTTTTACCATGGGTTTAAGATTTTCTCCAAATCATAAATTCATATACATGTATTTTATATTAAATGGAATTATTACTTGAACTTCACATATTAGTTCAATATTTTACATCACTGTTATCGAATTAAAAAAAAATTAAGCTTTGAAATCTCAGTAAAAGTTCCAGAGTAAAGTTTCATAGTAAATCTAAGTATCAATGTTTTACTATAGTTAACTATAGAAAAATATAGTTAATTATAGTCAACTATAGTAAATTTTTGTTAGGGAAGGCCTTCCTTTTTGAGGAATTTGAATAAAATTCTTCCCAAATTCCTTTAGGTGCTTGTTTTTGAGTTCAAACGCCGTGTAAGACATCAAACTGTCAATAATCTTTGATCCCCATTCTGTTAATTGTTTCCTTTTTCAACAGTTGTTCCCTTGATCAGAAATGACATCTATGACGTCCGTGCACTAGTACATTAATCAGTTTATTGTAGTATACATATCGAAACATTAATGTGGTGAATTTTTGAAAGAAAAAGAGAAAAACTTTTTTTCTCTTATCAAAGAAGTATTAATTAATTCTTTAAATATCCGGTAACTTTTCATTTTTTTTTTCTATAAATTGAAATGAGATAAAAACCTTCAAGATTTTTTCTCTCCATTTTCCAATTTGCTTTCTTCTTTTATTGATGATAAATTTTGTGTATTACATGTCAAAGTAATGCTGAGGATTAAATAAACATGTTTTGTACATTAAAGAAATGAAATCTACAATTTATTTCAGCATGTGAGAGGGGCTGGTTTGGCTCAAATTGTTCACAAAAATGCTCAATAAATTGCCGCACTGCTCATGAATGTACTAACACAGATGGGTCCTGTGTGTGTTCTCCTGGGTGGAAAGGGTCACCACACTGCAACAAAGGTAATTTTGATAGAAAGATCTAATATACGGTATCACTACTTTCAGTTGCTTGCAGGATCTATGAAGAAGTATCAAAAAATTGAAAGATTTCTTACGTACATTTGTGTGCATTTTCATTCCTTATATATTTACTTATCCTAGTAGATTAAGGAAAAAATATTTTTAAAAAATCTATTAAATAGAATATTTTTTCCAAAAAAAAAATATATTTTCTGCACAACAAATCTGGTATTTAATTCATGAGGATTTTAAAAGTATTAAATTTTGTACGAAAGACATTGAATTACATAGACTAGTACATGTATTGGGGTTATTTATTTATAGCGTACTATAAAACACAACATATACTCCTTTTTATTAGAATATTTGATGTATATCTTGATAAAGAATTCTAAGATATAAGATTGAGCAATTGATGAAGTTGAAATCGATTTTTGTTTGGTGGGATGTTTTATCTCTCGCTTGAAAACTGCACATTGAATAACTAATTTTGTTCAGGATTTATAATTTACATAATATAGGTAAAATATTTGTTTATACCTTAACATTACTTCATACTTTTATACTGTAGTGACTTTGCAACTTCACTATGAAATTTTGTCCAATATAAACTCTACTCTAAAACATGGCTGCTTCTTCAGAGTGTGGTCAGGGATTTTACGGAGAGGACTGTCAGAAAGTCTGCAGCGTTTATTGTGTCAATACTACATGTAATAAAACTGATGGCGGTTGTTTGGCCGGATACATTAAAGGAGACAAATCTGAGAAAGGTGAGTTGGTTAAAATCATTATCTGTTATTCTTTTACCCGAAAACTAAGTATTAAACAAAATGATCTTGGTTGGAAAAAGAAAATAAAGAAAAAATAAAGAATTTGACATTTAACTTTTTATTAGAATCTAAAAGTTTATATATCCTTATATGTCCAAACTGAATTAACAGTAGACGTTATAAATGTTTATACCTACATGTACCTCTCTCACTTTATGGCACTCCAGGAAATTAATCACTTATTAGGTTTGTAGAGCTTTGCCAAACCGTCTATAAAAGTGAACAGTCCTATATTGTTCTATAGACAGAGTCATTACTAAACTAATAAGCAATATCTATAATCCATTTCCAAATATATTTATATATAGACAAAATGAGGGACTATAAAAAAGCAAAATATGTTGCAGTGATAAAAAATATGTTGCAGTGATAAAATATTTTATAGCGTTATGTATTTGTTTCAGTCTGATTTGCGTTGTTTGGGAATAAGAAGGCAACCAAAGTTGCAATTGAAGATTGATCATTTTATAGCAAATACTAATGTGCTTCAGGGCAATTATGTAAATTTTAAGCTTAGAAAATACAACAGCCAAGAGTTACCTGTGGTTTTTTCCACTGGATCTTGACACGCGGGTAAATACCTAAACCCTGACTTAGGTGCTTTTGCCTCAATTTGAGCTGAGCTCATATTTTCGGGGATTTTAAAGTCCTTGAGTTCCATTGTTTTGAAATCTATGGAACTTTGCTCGAAAATTATTTCATAGTTAATTTGAAAACGGGCGTGCTTTGCAAATATTATCCACAATGATTTCGACTCAAGATTATACCAAAAAGTTTAGCCTTTAAAACCACTCGTTTTACAGTATATATTTCGTAGGTAATAAATCAAATATGATGATTGCATTTAAATGTAATAATTTGTTGAATACTTTAAAACTGTTCTTTTTCAAAGCTGCAATACCCAGTATGGTATCCGATGTAGAACCATCCAGTGCTCTAACTGTGGGTGGCGTTTTGGGTGCATTTGGTGTAGCTATTGTCGTCGCCATGATAACTATCATATATTTACGGTAGACAGTTTTACTCCTTTTGTATAAATGGTTATTTTCTACAAACTTGCAATAAAATGAGTCTTAAACGTTAATGTTCATCACGTTAGTTGATGACTGATGCAGGTGTATTTTGTTTTAAATAAAATAATAAAATAAACATCTGTCAATGAGTAAAATATGTATTGTAATTTGCTTTTGTAGATTGAGAAATAAAACGTCCAAAAGAGCGAAGACACAGAGAAATATAACGGAAAACAATGCTTCTTTTATTGAACTACGACAGAGGAAGACTCCGAATCAATGTAATTTAACATTAACTTCCAACTTTCTTAATCACATATTTTCTATTTACCATATTTCTTTGGTATATGGGTATGTGGTTTTAGTTTCCTTCATAACATTACCCGAATATTTAGTATTGTTTGTTGTACAGAACCGTATAAACTCACAGTATACAATAGAAAACTTTTGTAGGTTCTTCTCTTAGGAAGATCAAAGACTTGAAGCTTTTCTTCTGTGGTTCTTTTTTTTCTTCCCTTCTCAATAAATTGTTGGTTTTCCCCCGAACATTTCATTATAGGTCGTGGCCGTGGTTTGAAACCACGACATTCTGATCACAGACCGAGGGCTCTACAGACTGAGCTACCGCGACGGTCACTGACACAAAATTAAGCTTAAAAAATGAATTTTTTTCAGCATCTACCACAGAAAGAAGTAAGGATCGAAGTAAATATAAATCTTCCGATGTCGAGGAAATAGTCAAGAGAGGTCCGCCTACGAATAAAACTATTCCCACAAAAGTCCTGCATTCCATCGTAGCCAAAATGTCTGCTTCCAAAAACGCTGGATTCAAACACGAATATCATGTATGATAATATTAAATTATATTATTATAATTCTCTTTGAGTATTTGTAATACGATTTATAGTATGAATACATCTTTGCAATGTACATGTTAGAATCAAACACTTGATATTTAACAGAAATATATTCGCATCCTTGAAAATGAAAAAGGTTAAGGTAATGTGTAATCTGTAAACAGGGCATAAAACACGGACCCCCGGAAATTCCAGAGGTGAGATCAGGTACCTACATGTAAGGGACTTTTGCAAGAAGCGCTGACTTTAAAATCGGCGACTTGCATTTACAGTGGGACAACATACGGAAGCTCTTCACGCTATACATATTTAGCTTAACAGTTAATCAAAAGATAAAAATGGACAATTTCTAAGCATATACTAAGTTGTTGAGGAAGGGAACGGCAACAACCCCTCCCTTCCCACCTTCACCAGCTCCCGCCAATTTTTTTTCATCAGGAATGTTTTTTTTCTATTCTTTTATTGATTCCTTCAGAAAATGGGATTGAAAGGAGATACTACCCCTCACGAATAACGTATTTTAAGTTATGTTATTCTGCCTCCCATCATCTCTTGTGTTGATTGTATACCGATAAATCATATTACCGCACCTAACACCATAACCTGTTAAAATTTTCTTCTCAGTTCTCATTTCTGAACCTCGTGTATACCATAGGTTTAAATGCTAGAGTAAGTTGTCGACCGCAAAAGCCTTATGTACTGATCAGATAGGCGGAATATTCCGTAGTAAATTTAAAGACAAAAGCCTGGCAATTTGTATGAAATATTTCGGTCAAATTGCGACCCAATGATATGATATATTTGCTAACAAGGTCATTATAACGATCATAGAATTTAAGAATTAAATGCTGGCTTTAAATGAAGTTATTAAGATCCATGAAAGTCAACTTATCTGTCAGTAGCCTGCATGGGAATAAAAATTGATCGTACTCGGAGAACGCTCCTGAGTATCGAATAAATTCAATATGGATATGAAAACGGAAAAATACTACATAAAAAAGGAAAGCTGACGATGAAAAAACTGAAGTCATCTCGTTTGTCATAAGTTTTGTTTATAGTTGGCCCTCATTGTTCATAGTCAATAAAACATCCAAATATGAAACAGATGAAGCAGACTCTGAGATGTCTAAATTTTGAGTTCACTGGTATATATCAAGTCGACATATGAATAGAACTATCATAATTGTTTATTGATAAAACATCGTCGATATATCTGAATGTCTAGATGAAGGCCACAGCAAGTGTTTCCTTCTTCTAATGTAAGTCTTTGAATAGAAATATAAAAACAGGTCGTTTAATTAAGGAGTAAAAAATTAGTGTCCATCGGAATTCCAACAGATTGTTGGAGGACCTTGTCTCCAAAGATGATATAAATGTTAATTTTCAGATGTAGAATTGAAGCCACGTTCTTCTAAAATACAGTTATAATAATGAGCCTTAGAAACAAAGACGATATTGTTACAAGTCTTCTCAGCTTGAACCTTTACATACAGTTCATGTAGTCCTTTTAATTCTTTTATCAGGTCCGATTAAGTGAAAACGGAAGGATATATGGTTAGCATATTGCCTTTTAACTGTTTAACTGTTTGTTATCTTCACCTACTTCATTTTTAACTCGATTGTAACTAGATTCTTCAATATATTTCTTAATCATTTAATCCAATCGGACAAATTGTTCATATTAATCAGGTATTCCTCTTCATATATAACAGTTAATGACGACTTCGTGCATTCATGATTGGATATGAAAGTAATCTTGAATAAGCGTTGAACACTTTTGACACATCAATAGTTTCCATGTAATATGTGTTTTCTTGCATTTAATAGGAAATTCCTAGAGGTGAACTATTTCCCTGTGAAGAATCTAAGAAGCCTGAAAATAAACCTAAAAATAGATATACAACTACATTTCCATGTACGTTTTACAACTACAGTTCTGGTGTACATACAAAAACACACTATTTTGTTTGTTTTGGGTTTTTTTCGTTAAAAGAATATGGATTATATTGTATTTTTCATGTTTCATGTTGTTCTACAGACGATCACTCACGAGTTGTATTGAAAACCTCATCTCCTAATGAAAGTGATTTCATCAATGCCAATTATATCGAGGAAAGTATTATTATATCATTGACATTTTAAGCATCAAATCGAAAGTGTACACAAACCGTTGTTGAGAAAGAGACAAACAAAGCTTTATCAAAAATGACATGATGGAATATTTTTGTGAGCTCGTGATAAGAATACTAGTGAAAAAATTTTCCCTTTTGATTTGTTTCTTGTTTAACGTCCCTCTTGAGAATTTTTACCTCATATTGAGACGCAGATATATCCTCTACGAGGGTTGTTAGAAAAGTTCGCGGACACGTTGATTTACGGAAAATATATTGTAAACTTTGAAGAATGACGTATATCTAATTAATTTCTTATGTTTTGTTTATTAGTATGTTAAAGATCAGGTCCATTTACTAAAATTTTGAAAATATACGTTTATTTTTACTGCGCGGTCATAGGATTCACGGAGCAATCACTTGACGTTTTATGACGTTAGGTGACGCGAAGACCTGATTCCAGGCCTGTGAAGCTTTTTCACAGTTCTAAATATCTTTCATTTCTATAGACTTTTCATGTCTTTTTTTTTTTACTTAAAAATTGAATAAGTATATCAAGACATGTTATATATTTTCTGATGTCTTTTGTGGTTTATAGGATATAAGTGAGATCTTTAAAACAATGTTTACGCAGTTCAGCGATCAGATATGAGAAACAATGCTAAATCCTTAGGCGAAACGTCCATGCGATGAGCAGGATATTGGGGTATCGCAGGAGTTTATAATCAAAAATGTCCATACTTCCATTCTTACAAAGTTGTTTCCACTTGAACACTTTGGTACTAGACACATGTAAGCCATCCCCAGCAGCATCTTAAAACATTTTAGTCTCTTTCGGGCATTTTCCTGTCTGCACACATAATTTTTTAATAGCTAGGTGCTCCAAGACGTTCAATAACGTTGTCATTTTTTGGCTTTTTTTTCGATTGATCATCTATAATTAGTGATAAAACAGTCATAACTCCTCCAATTCAATTCAAAATTTCGCCAAATGACGTTTCATGAATATCTTAGCGAGAGGTGAAATATCATAAATCTTTATGCGCTACAACAGTGCAATTTTTAACTTCAAAATTATGTCTCTGAAATGTAAAAGAGACGAAAAAGTAACATGCTCCGTGACGCATGTTTTATCTGATTAATTTCGCTGTATATTTTTTAAAGATCATCGGAAAACAACAAAATTTTGCATATTATTTGGAAAATACGTATAGTTTTTACCTGCGGAGTTTTACTGATTTCATGCAAATAGCGCGCTCACAATAGAACTTGTCCGCGAACTTTTTTTAAAAACCTCGTATAAACCGTTTTCAATGCTGAAACGGGTATTTTCTCTTCAAATGCTTAAAATTGTCTTCTGGCTTGCTTCAGATGATTTCCATTGTAATAAATGTGTTAGATAAGTTTTCATACCTTTTCAAACCTGTCAAAATAAATTTATACTTTTTTCATATATAGGATACACAGAGTAACCAAAAGTATATTGCAACTCAAGGTACATTATTTATTGATGTAAATATAATTGTAGATAATGCAAAAAAAAAAAAAAAAAAACATTTCTTCCGAATATTTATCTATATTTATCTATATTATCATATTTGACAGGGCCAAAGCCAAAAACAGTGGTTGACTTCTGGAAGATGGTGTGGCAGGAATGTGTAAATACCATTGTTTGTCTGACCAATCTAAAAGAAGGGACAAAGGTTTGATTGTTAATAATGAATAGTAACTAAACCACTGTAACATTTGATTATTTTGATTGCTTTCATAGATGTTCTCTCAGCTACTTCCTGTTTGAGTAAATATAGGGAAATACTGCCTTTTCATTGTCACCTAAAGTTGTGTTGTAAAAGCCAGTTAGTGTCTGGAATGTATATCTACAATTTAAAACAAAATAACTATATATGAAAGTAAAGCAGCTTTAAAAAATCAGCAGCTCAATATTTCTACTCAAAAGCTATTTTCAAAAAATTGTATGCAATTATTCAGTCACCTGAGTCACTCAAATGAACTCAATCTGCTTTCGTTCGTCATCATGCGTTGTCCTGCTTCCCTGAAGCCTTAGGTTGGGACCAAAAGCTTCAAACGTAATGCAAACTGCTGGCATAATACTAATAAGCAGTGAGCCCTTTACTAAAATTGTAAATGTCATGAGCCCTGGATACAAGGTTAAGGCTGAATAGTGTGGATAAATTTGTCATGCATTAACACTGAACTACCGGACGGGTATATTTTGCAGGCGAATTGTTTGCATGGTTAATTTGTGCTTAACATTTTACCAAAGTCGCAAAAATTCCGTGGCACCTGGGTCTATGTCTGTTTGGGATTTAAATGGTCATATATTGAAAACGTATTCTCTCCTACTCATTGGAACTTATCGAAAAAAAAACAAACTTAACCCTCTTTATAAAGTTACAGGTTGTAAATCCGTGTCGTCCTGGTTCAGGTACCAAGACGAGGTAAAGTTAGTCGTATATTGAAAATATATACACCTTTGAAAATCTTTTCTTTGCTCATGGACAAACAATGAAATAATTATAATACATAAGGAGCCTTTAACCAAGATGGGGAAAAATCATGTTCCCTGTGTCTAGCGTTCAGGCCCAAGGAGGGAGCAAAACTGGTATACTAAATTTAATTAAAAATTGAACAATCTTCAAAACCTTTTGATTATAATAAGCTATTATAATTAATATTTCTTTTTAAAACTAAAATTAAATTCATGGTTTTATGCCCATGGTTTAGCCACCAATGTGTGACTAAATAGGTGTTTGTCAAATATTAAAAATATATTACATTTTAGATATGTACTGATCAAAACACCTCAGAGTTTTTTCACATGTAACCTTGGGGTGAGACAGGGTGAAAATCTATCACATTTCCTATTTACGACATACATTAAGGATTGAAAAAGCTTTCTTTTGTTGAATGACATTGAATGGGTTACGAGCTTAAGTGGGAAGGCAAGCTATGTTTAACATTTCATACTCTTTGATGCATATGACACAGCTTTATTATCTGACAACCCAGAAGATCTACAAAAGTCTGTGAATATTTTTTTTATTATTGTGATCATTGGAAGCTTCAAGTAAACACTGAAAAGACTAAATTGCTCATTTTCTCCTGAGGAAGAATTTCGAAGAAGATTATATAAAGGTACACCAATTGAAATTGTGAACAAATTTCAATATTTAGGTATAATTATGTATCGAAGAGGATTGCTCAGAAGTGCAAAGACGCATTTAACTAAACAAACTTCAAAAGCCATGTATTTAATACCTAGAGAAATTAGATACTTTAGGGCCAAAGACACGTTCCTTAAATATGTTTTGTATACTTTGGCATCATATAAAAATTATTCATATTGTCATTCACTTGTGATTTCTAAATTGTTTTCAATATGTTTTAAAATATGAGTACACCAAAAATTGTAACATTAGCAGTTCAAATGATTACCCATAAGGATGACATAAGAAATATTACCCTCTGGTATCTTGCCCAAATGCCTGGTAAGGTACCTCAATTTTTGGTGAGGAAACTTGTTTAAGTAGCTATACTTCAATGATAATTTCTTGGGAAAAATTATATGTTTTCGCGGAACGTGTCGTCTGACTTTAATTTGTCAGTGTTTGTCAAATAAATCTCATTGATAGTGCTATAAGTCCAAATTAGACATACAGTTGTGAAGTCTGGGCGTATTATGCGTGTTATCGATGGATATCGCCCAGTTTCCCCATAAAACATATAATTTGGGGTGCTAGATTTTACATGTAAATCAAATTTCAAAAAAAAATTTAAGTGAATTTCTTTTAATATCTATGTTTTCAAACCCAGGTACTGATTAGATGGAAGATCAATGGTTTATGCGTCTTTAGACTGTACATGTAAACAAAGAAAAATATCTTTCCAAAATTTATCCTAAAGAATAGTAAGCAGCAATATTTTGCGTACAGAAAGCCACAGAATGTAATAATAATCAAAGACCTCTATGTTTACGTGATTTAAGTTACTCAAAACACAATCCTTAAGATTGGAGTTAAAACTGATTTATCCTTTTTTGAAAAATGTATAAGGATACATTTATACATACTTAAAGGAGAAATATTTTAAATGAGCTAAGGGGCAATAAACTTCATTGTTTAATATTGTATTTTTTATCACCATAATGCACTGTGGATTGGTGTTTATAAGTGATACTTCATAGCAGTCTAGCGGAGAGTGTTTTGGTAAATTAACCCCTTATTTTTCTTGCAGATTAAATGTACTCAATATTGGCCGAATTTTAGCGACAAAGTGCAGCATGGCATCTTTATAATAAGAAACCTGGAAGAGAAGATATATGCTAATTATACGTCAAGACGCTTCAAAGTGTACAACAATCTGGTAAGAAGCAAATATATAATATAATAGCCTAATATCAACTTAGAACTATAGTACAGTAAATGCGGGGTTTTTTTAAAAAAAATAAATAAATAAATAAATAAATAAATAGCCTAATATCAAGTTAGAATTATAGTACCGTAAATGCGAGTTTTTGTAAAAAAAAAAATACTAATAAATAAATAAAAAAAAAAATAGCCTAATATCAACTTAGAATTATAGTACAGTAAATGCGGGTTTTTGTAAAAAAAAAAAATAAATAAATAAGTAAGTAAATAGCACAATATCAACTTAGAACTGTTGTACAGTTGATGCGAGTTTTTGTAAAAAAAAAAAAATACATTCCTAAACTACAAGAGAAAGTTGCTATTAATCTTTGATGTTTTTTGCTTATACCTATAATTCAAAATGTTTTTAATCTGATAATGTTTGATATATTTACATAACTGAAAGATGTCTCTAGTGATGTTTTGTTTCTTTATTTAATTGTTTTAGTTTGCTTTTTATTTAATCTTCGTATTTAACATAGTGTTATATAAATTTCAATGCGCATACATATGCTAACAATTAAATATAATTTGATGCATTACTGAGAGCAAAAATTGCCAGAAACGTTTCTCTAATTCGATGAACATGTATTTAAAGTCAAATCAGTAAATGCATACTTAAAGACAAACACAACCATTCTAAGACAGGCCAAAAGTTGAATCTATTTTTGCTTTTCACCATGCTGAACATTTAGCAAATATTCTCCAAAATGATTACTGATAAAATGATTAATGATAAAATACGTATACTTTGAGAAAAAAAATATCAAAGAAAACACGAGAAAGATTGAATTATTACATATAAATCCAAAGAAGACAGTGTCTAAAATGTGATCGTTTTCAACGTACAAGTAAAATCAACATACCTCTCTAGAAGATGTTCCTACTTTTTTCAATATAAGCCCCTCTCGGAGTTTTTATATAATTTCCTTTGATAAACAGATGGTTTCATTGACCTCGTTTGCAAAAATTCCTCGTATAATGGCAGTGTTTAATCCAAATAGACAAATTCCCGCCGTTTGATCCATATTCCGTTTTGCTGATTTAACTTGTTACAAATCAAATAACACGATTGGAATAAAAGAAAACAATTAATCGAACGAACGACATCGCACCAAAAATGCACGGTCCAAAAAACGATATCCATGCTAACACACCTCTTATATACTCCGTGTTGTAGGGAAGATGCCATTTTACAATAAATGCGCATGCTCAGAATTATTCTTATTGGGTGAAATGTAAATCTATTCAAAACTTCCATTGATACCTATAGATCTGTCTCGAACTCTAAACGATTCCAATTATCTGATACGTAATATATATATTTTATTGCATTTAATGCATGATAATCAGCAAAAACGTGTTGTTTACGTTCAATTTAAAACCATCGTGTATATATACATTATGAAGAATGTTAGGTATTGCAAATTGTTAAATTATCGTCTTTGTTTCATAAAATTTTGCCTGCGTTCAAGATCAAAAGCAGCTAGGCTTCGCTAAGGTAATATATTCCTAGCAGCTAGACTAGTAGATTGTTTAAGGTATTTCCACCATCACAATTTTATAGGTTCAGTGTAGAAAAACTGCATTTATTTTCACTGAATATAGTTTAAATTAATTAATAATTGTAAAAAAAAATGTATAGGTTGCCATATTATTTAAGATGTAAGACATAAATAAGCAGAAGTATATGTCAGCATAAAAATAGTGCATTTTTAGTAAACAATATTATGAAAATTAACTAAAATTATTCAGAAACATAATTCTGATGCTGAAAGTACCAAAATATGTGTTACTTTATAAATATGTTTGAATTGTGAATATCAGGAAATCCATTTTACTTCAGAAGTACAATAAAGGAAATGCCTGAATGAAAATACATGAGAAGGAGTTATTGCCCTTACCAACATTTCTTAAAGATTAAATAATTAAGAAAATAAAGAAAATTTTCATTTTTTAAATTACTTTAATTAACAATATTTTTCATTACACCTTTTGAAATGCATTCTTCACAAAGATGTATTTCTATTGGGCATGAATTTAAATTAATAAAGTTTTTTGCAAAAACTTATGACATCACAAGAGGGTGGAAATGCCTTAATATCATAGCTCTCTTAAGTGCTGCATAGCCACTACGATCATGAAAGCGCCGTAGGATATCAGAATTATACACTAAAATTGAAATAACCTGTGGGCATTATAATATTATCATTATTTAAGAAATAAGGTATTATTTTTAAACATCTATACCGGGATATAAATACGGGTTGGGCACGAGAATTTGATCTCATACCAACCCGTATTTATATCCAGATAGATGTTTTACAATGATACCTTATTACTTATTTTTACATTTGTGACTTATTCATATTTTATATTTGCCTGATTATAATCTTTCACGCGTGAAATGTTTTACTTTCAAACTCAACAGCACGAGTATCTATTGATTGCGCGTCGACCCTTTATGACGTCACTGAAAATTACGTCGAACGTTTATGACGCGAGAAACCCGTGTTTATACGGATATAGATACGCGTTGCTTTCTATAGTGTTATATAACAGAAAACATTTGCAAATGTAAATATAATATTAAGAAAGAGGAGTGTGGAACGCGGGGACTGATTCAAAAAATGCATTACTTATCAAAATTATACTTTTGAAAAATCAAGCTCATGTTTTTAAATAGTCCTGATATACCTGTGTACAAAGATTTTTTTAAAAAATGAATACAATTGAAATATAGCTTAGTGTGAATCCCTAGATAGATTACAGAAAGTATGTCGAACTAGCATGAAATTTGTTGATTTGATTTTTTCTTGGCTTTAATTAATTAGGACCTGAACCGAGGTAAATTTCTATGTTTTAGTTATTTATTTATTTCAAATATCTTTAAAATCCATATTTCTATTAGAGCAATATCTCATAAAAATAAACATTGTTACGTCATACTCATTATGACATCACAGTTACAAATACGCAGCACATTTAAGGCTTCAAAAAGGAGCGGGACCTGATTTATACAGGAAGTATTTACTACATGACATCACACAAAAATAACAATTTCTCAAATTACCTCAAAATTAAATGCTCTGCGATTTTAATCTTTTGGAGCTTAAAACTACATCACAACTTACTGTAGCATAAAGTTCTGTCTTTAATTAAATCCCACACAGCAAGTTATATACATTTCACTAATCGCAATGCACATGTGTAAGTGATGTCATATCGTACATTTTGACGGAATTTGTACGCAGTGACAGGCGGATCAATTAATATTTTCAAAATGTAAAAAAGCATCTTGTAATGAAATAAAATATTATTTGCTGAGGCCACTAACTTCGATGCTATGTCCTTTAAAAGAATTTTTTTCATATATTTTCCGTATATTTCCTAGTCAAGTAATACTACCGAATATTTGTATGGAGATTCATTAGAGAGTAATAGATTATTGAATGCTGATTTACGTCCCATTCGAGAATTTTTCACTCATATAGAGACGTCACCGTATACTGGTGAAGGGCTTCAAATTTAGACCTTTACTCGGCACTGAGAGCCATTGAGCAGTGAAGGGCTTTGAGTTTTAAGGTGTCATCCGAAGGACCCGCAACTTTCACTTCAAAGTGCCGAGCGCTTGGAGAACAGTTGCTACCTATTTTTTTCGATTTAGGTCAAACGCGGCCTGCATTCGAACCCACATCCTACCGATCACAGCTCGAACGCTCTACTGACTAAGCTACCGTGATGGTTGAACCTGCGGTAGGATCATTAACAAACCTGAAAAACACCATCTCGTGGTCGAGGAGGGAAATAGAAGGGTCTTAAAAATTGATATATTGCAAAGATATACATTTTTAAAATGGATCATGCCAAGTTTAAATACATAATTTCAATAGGTATTAAAACATTTGAAAAGTGCTGCGAACCTGATGAAATCTTGTAAATGAATTATTACTATATTTAATGTAAGTGTCCATCAAAATATTCAACATGCGGTCTATAACAAATATAATTTTAGCAATTAGATAGTAGAATCTATATATATTGGTTTGCAGCATTTTCACAAACTACAAAGAGTGCTGAAAAAATTTACAAATTAAACTTGTATAGTTCAATCGGTTATACCCTATCTATTTATAGATAACCTAAATTCTGCAAGCATATTTGCTATAATCACTTCAGTACTACATGACGTGACAAGTCTAAAAAAATCTAATCTTCCTCAACATGTTGTTTTTAACCATATTACATTTGTCCGATATAAGTAGACTACTGAAAAAAAAGTATTCATCCTTGTAAAGAATGTACTTTTGTCTTTAAAAATCGCCGATATTTCTACTGAGAACCTTATCTGAGCTGTGAAAATTTGAAGTATCTGTTTTTAGAAACATCCAGATAATATCGACTAATAGCATCTCGTAAGGTGAAAAAATGTTGTAATAATAAACTTGCATATAATTGACAAGTATCCCCCCTTTCTTTCGGATCTGTCAACAAAGTCTTTAAGCAGCCGATACCTTTTCCTGAAGTTCTCAAACATCTTTATCTTGATATATTTTTTTATTTTAGTTCATTAAACATTGGATCTCACACAGTAAAAATAAGAAAAAACTGGTATACTTAGTTTGTAGAGAATTGTTCTTATTGGCATTTATTGTCTTTATTAATGTTTATGATAAAAAGTATAACATGTCTTTTGAAATTATCCAATATGTTACAGTGTATGCACATCTATTGGTCTGACTCTTTATAATCGAATCATTTCTATGCAATGAAAAATGGAAAAAATGTTTATGTCAGGTCAATAGAAATCAATAATGAGGCACGGTAAGGAGCATAATCTTTATAATTTCTTATTAATAGGATAAAAAAGACCGTGAAATGTTGATGTTTCATTACACACGGTGGCCAGATCATGGAGTCCCTGATCCACTTAGTCTTGTTGTGTTCCACCGTCACGTGATGAAAACGTCATCACAGACTGGAAAGTACATGCTGGTCCACTGCAGGTTATATTGTGATATCTTAATATTGAAATGCTTTTTAACAAAGATAATAATAACAAAGACTCACTCTCTCTTTCTCTCTCTCTCCTGTTAAAAGAATTTACTGGAGACATGCTCTTGCACACCTAATCTATTGGAAGACTATCCCCATATGCAGGTGTAAATAGAATATTACTACATAAATAGGAAAAGATGATAATGGAAAAGCTTTAAAGTCATCCTGCTTGCTGTATAGCTTGGTTGTTAGTTGGCCATTTTTGTCTACAGTCAGTAAAGAATCCAAACATAAAAAGGTCTGGCAGAATCTTTGGCATCGTTTGTTGAAGGTTCACTGGAATATATCGATTTAACATATTGAAAATATCTATTTTTTATTGATAAAACGTCGTCAATATAAAGAAATGAGGGATTGAAAAAAACGGTTAAACCTTTCTCCTTCATTTCACGTAAAAGGTGTTTAGTAAATTTTGATTCGTAAGAGGTTAGATGATAAGGGAGCACAATGTGGTGCCTATCAAAATTTCAAATGAATAATTGAAGACACCCTCCTCAGGAACTGCTTGGATATTTTCAATGAAGGACTACTCTAAGAATGTACATAATCACCAAGTGAAAATGAATACTTAATCGACATCATTCAAATTTGTATAGTAGATAACTTAACTTACAATCAATTAATTGGTATTGTTAAAGGCAAAAGCATGTTACTGAATCATTTAAATAAAATTATTGCCGGAAATTATTTACAATATGTAGAGTAAAGCTAATATTTCTTTTTAAAGTCCAATTTAAAATTATTCTTAACTTCAACGTATTAAGAACTATACTCAGTCTTTAAGATGAATACAGTAAAACACTTAATAGTAAACCGCGAGTATATCGAAATTGGCTTATAAAAACTGGCAATGTTCACCGGAAAGGGAAAAAATTGCAGTTTTAACGGGATATAACGAATTATTTACAGATATAGGGAAACAGTCTTGATTTCCCTAGCAATTATTTCTAACCGAGCTCTACTGTATTTGTTCAAAGTCTTGTTTTCTATACAACTTGTAATACAAAATTAATGCTTTAAGCCAAAGATGTTTCATTCAAGTTTTCTACCAATCAGCGTTTGTCTTATTGATAAACACACAGACATGCGCATTATTATATCAGATTAGTTTATGGTATATGATATAAACAGGTAAGCCATTAACCAAATCAGACCAGTACCAAACCAGTTCTGATTGCAAAACTGCAAATACCCTAAGGAGAGAAAATCATGACTTGTAGTTAAAATTTATATTAACATTCTTAAGATCTGATGAAGAATATCTATCATTGAATATTTACCTTAAGAAAACATGAACATTGTACTGCTTTTTTATGGTCATTTTTTTGTCATGCAATTTGCTAAAGAAACTACTGAAGATTCAAAATTAAAAGTTTATGTCATGCCCATTGTCATTGAGTAAAATTTGTTCATTTAAGAATAGTTACAAATAAGAGATCTTTCTGTACAAATACCGGAGATGACATTTTAATTTCTTTTCATATATTTCGAAATATAGTCATAATGTTCATTCCAAAGCTTGGATCACTCAGCTTCAACGTAATCATTTCTAGTTTTACAATACAATGAATAGCATCAGATTTAAAAGCAATTCATTGTCGTATTTAACATTCAATAGATTAATTAAAATCAGAATGAAATCTTACAGCTAGTTTTCACTCGGTAAAATGAAAAAAAAAAGATGAACTCTTGAAGATCATTATTCCCTCTTTCCTTTTATTTAATAATTTGTCTTCCTGCTATATGTACATCTACATGTACAAAGTGAATAAAATGCGTTACCATGTGAAGAACGTGTAGGTTTCTTACTGTACGTAATCGTGAATTCATTGCTTATTTCAACTTCAAGAACCCTTATTACAAGAGCGAGATTAATATAAGCTTGTTTGTAAATACAGCCTATCGTTTGGTCTTAATTTGTCTGATTTCATACCAATTGTTAGGTCATTGTTTTATACTAAATTTAACAACGGACTACTTTGGCTACCTGATCAATACAAAAAGGAAAGGATAACGGCGGATGTGACCGTTCGACAGGGAATGGTTACCTAGTCACCTGTACCCTCCTGTGGTGATTCTGGGGGTCCGTGTTTTTCCCCCTTTTCTGGATTCATAATGTTGATCACTGTCCGCTAGTTTCACATTAACATAGATAAAACTACGAAAAAATATAATGATGAAGCCTTAATGAAATATTCAGATGATTAATTTTTCCAGTGCTGGAATAGGGAGAACCGGAACATACTTAGCTTTGGACGCCCTCTACCGGGACGGGGAGAGAAATGGCAGAGTTAATGTACCGATGTACGTCAGGACCATGAGAAAAGACAGAATGAACATGATACAAGGAGATGTAATTTTATTTTTTTTTGTTTTATTCCATTAACTTTTTCTGAATTCTTTGAGAATACAAAACGGCTTTAAATGTGTATTTAACATTATTTTACCAAATTTAAACGTATCAGTTTTATAAAAAAAATTGTTGAAATAATAGATTTTGGTCCCAATTTCTGATTTTTTAAAAAGAAAAGTCCCTTTAACATCTGTTTTTACTGACATGGGATTTTCCGTAAATACTTGCATTGATACAAATCAGCTTATACATAAAGAATATATTAATAAAGAGGCGCTTCTATGGTTATTCTTTCTTCCTGTCCATACTCTACAAGGATATGCACGATATTTTCCGCATTTTTTGTCTTAAGCACAACAGGAAAGCACTATTTCGGTTACATAATATGTATTGGTCTCCTGGAAACAAAAGCTTTAATAACATAAAAGTATGATGCATAATTTTCTTTCATATAGTAAACACACTGGTAGTAATATTTCCCTTTACATCACCTGCCAGAAGAATTTAAACGTAATTAGCTATCAAAATTTCCTTATTCCACCCTGCTTAAATTCTTATGTTGTATTTCTCCCCAACCCTTCCTCAATTAAAGATAAAGTAACTAAAGGTTAATAATCGTTTCCAATCCTTTCACTGTTGTCATGCAAAGAAATTTCCCTGTATTACCTGTTCAAATATTTCCTTGTTTGTAAAGCTCTCTCAAAAGACGAATTAAACCATCGTGAATCTGATTTGTTGGGAAATTTTCAAAATTTTAAAAAAAAAAAAATTCATACGTTAGCATGCCGTACTTAAATGTAAATATTCTATTAAAGCCTTAACATCAACAACTATTTGAACAAGAAAAAGAATCTCATTTTGAAACGAAATTAAAAAAGAAAAGGTTGGGTTATCCAGAAAATGTTAGTTTTAGATGTTCATATAATTTCTTTTTCAAAAGCAATATACATGTGTATGTTTCTTTCTCGTAGTTACCAACTACGTGTAAATGAATGTATGACATTTATTAGCATCACCAGAAAAAAAAAAGCGTAACTTTGTTGTTACTGTTATGAGAATCAGTATGCAGCATCCTGCAACGAATCTGAAGCATACCATAAAATTACATATTTTCAAGGGGTCAAATTTTGGAGGTTTGAGGATAAAACATTGGATCAAGGGAATTTGACTTCGTGGATGAAAGAGTGTAACGTCATTACACATTTAATATTTTACAGTTCGTGGAGGACATGAATTCGATGGTCTCGTCAAACCAAGAAAAACAACGGAAATTAAAGTTCAAACCCTAAAGAAAATAATTGATTTCACACTAAGCAGTTTCTGACATATGACAAGCATTCAAATCTTTTCCAATATTAATATTTTAGCAAACATATACAAGGTTACGAAAAAGATAAGGATAATCTAATCTACCTTAATAAATTTCAGTCAAACAGCTATTAGTAATATATATATAGATGAGTAGTAAATAACATGGTATTAACGAGTTAGAATTCATATGATAAAATACAATATATCACTTAATCTTACATTTCCAGTATTTATGCTACTTCTGTAAGCATTTGCATTAATAAATAAGCATAGGGTCAGACAATTATAGCTTCAATGTAGTAAACTAATTTAAAAAAAAAATTGATATTGGCAAATAAAACATTCAAAATAATAAGAAATAATGCTATACGAGAAAAATGTCCATTAATTGGAACATTCTGTTTAATTCTCTCAGTCTTCTATGAATCGATAAAATGTTTCCGTACGCCTTCTTGGAATATGAAACAGAAGGGTAATTAAACTTTTTTTTTACTTTCATATATAATTGTGAAATCTGATTTGTTGGGAGATACAGATTGTTACCCTCTGAGAAAGAAACCACGCCCTTAGGTTGATATTATCTAGCAAAGGGATCCATTACTTGACAACGGCTGATATTATAAAAATGAAATAGTGTATGCCCATACACTTTCCCGTAGATTTTTACAGACGGTTGAGTGTAACAGACAAAAAAACATATATTGCATCTAGCTGGAGGAATATTGAGAAAATTCCGAGAAAACAAAGCCGGCAGCTAGGGTTTGGTGTCTTTTTGATCTCTTGTCCAGGAAAACGTTGGTCTTTTCACTCCTTGGAAACATTTGTTTACAATGATTTCTCGTGGCTTAAAGTTTTAATATAATACCTTAAATTACTCCCAATATTTATAGAAAAGAACTAAGGTTTTTTTCGGGAGAGGGTGTGTTGTAGCACTAAGGTTTTGTATAACATGTTTCTGTAAGTGGGTAACTCGATTCTCGTAAGCATATTTTATATCTGTACATGCTTATAAAAGATTGTATTCGATTCCTTATTATAAAACATATAGTTTTCTCATCAATCAGGACCAGTACAGAGCCGTTTATCTTGCCCTTTGTGAATCATTCAGTGGGAGGTCTAGACGTTTGACAGCTGAAACACTTTCACATCAATCTCAAGATAGATCTTGCTACACAAATTGTGGGGAAGTTTCAAGTACAACTTCCCTGTCTTCAGACTTCCAGGTAAATTTATCACACTTAGCAATAACAAAATGCAGGTTTCTTCATTTTATTATCAAATCAAGAACATGTGATGTGATTTATATACGGTTATTACCTAACAAAGTGATTCTCAATTTAATAATGATTGTACTATTTTTTAATACAACTTTAGATGATACCAGTAATAATAAAAAAAACAAGATGTGTTTGTGAAATACTGATGCCCCGTATGGCATTTCATGGCGAAAGTTAAAGTATCTCAAATGTAAGTCAAACTCAAGGTCAAAAGATAAAAAATGTTGGTATCCAAAGAAAGGTCTTGTCTTGAGGAATATACCTGTGAAATATGAAAGCCCTAGAACCAACCGTTGAAAAGTTATGGCGAAGGTAAAAAAAATTTTTAAAAGTTAGTAAAACGTCAAGGTCAAATGGTGCCCGAGGGAAGGAAGGAACGTGAAATATGAAAGCCCTAGAACCAAACGTTCAAACTTCAAGATCAATGTTGTTAGTATCCAAAGGAAGGTCTTGTCACAAGGAATACACATGTGAAGTTTGAAAACCAAGCACCAACTGTTCAAAAGTTATGGGTAAGGTTAAAGTCTTTGAGGACAAGCAGACAGACAGACGACCAGGGCAAAAACTATATGCCCCCGAATCTTCGATTACGGGCGCATAAAATATGTAATGTAGAAATCTATTTCAAATTTAATTTAATTATACTGTGCAGTAAATATATTTGTTCATTCGTAATTGTTGTAGACTCTACAGTCTCTTCGGATAAAATATGCAGAGAAAGATTGTGAATCTGGACATACAAACATATCAGCCAACTATACAGAGAGTGTTTTGCCGGGTATGCTTCAATATTATCTACATTTATGTCTAATTCCGTGTGTTTAAATCAGATTGGAATTTTTAGTAGCGATAATTCGGTCGAAGGAAACTAAAAAAAAATAATGATTCATTGTAAATTTCGTGGAGGTTTTTGTACTATCGGCTAACTATGTAGAGGTCGATTTGCAGGTCATAATAATTTTTACATCAATGTTTAGTTATCTCACTCATGTTGTAATTGTTAGTAGAAATTGTTTGCAGAAAAGAAAAAAAAATTGCAAATAATATCAGTTATTTAACTCATGTCAGTAGAAATAGTTTGAAAAAATCTTGCAAATAACATGATTGTAAATTTCTACAGTTTTCCCCCTAATAATTAAGCCGTATCATACATGTATTTCAGTTGAAAAATTCCTGTGTTATTTGTCCTATACAAAGGGAAGAAACAACTACTACAACGCTGTTCTTCTACAGGTCGGATTTTATAAGTATTTTATCGTGATAATGTCCTTAAATGTAATGCTTTCATAGTATTTCATCTTCCGTATGGGTAAAGTGGTTCATCCAAAAGATAAGATGAAAGAATACTTTATATTTTAATTAAAGATGGCAATGGTTCCTCGATGTCTGTTAATTAAACCAGAAAATTAGCAATTTAAATTTTACATAATTATACGTATATAATTATTTTTATTTTTTCATTGGAAAATCCAATTGAGATTGTACTGTGAGATTACTCATTTGCATCTATATATTCGATCTTAAGATATAAAAGGAAAAAGGAAAATCAATTACATAATAATTATATTTTGATAGTCCTTCACTGAAAATGACTGTCTAATCAGCGCTCAGTACCCACTTCCTGAATACACTGAAGACCTTTTGAGACTCATCAGAGATTTTGATGCTCGTGTTGTGGTTTTCCTAGGTCCTTTGAAGGAAATAAAATCCGTAAGATAACCATATATATCATTGAAAGATGTAATAAGAAAGAAATATGAGTCCATTTGATTTTTTTTTATGAAAATATAACATAAACAAAGGGAAACATGTAAGTAATATCATTTCGTGAAAAAAAAAATGGTTTTCGTACTACCCTAACAAAAAAATACTATAGTTAACTATAGTGATAACTTTGACACTATGAAAACTTTGATTTACTATAGTGATAACTTTGACACTTTGATTTACTACAGTGATAACTTTGACATTTCGATTTACTAAAGTGATAACTATGAAAACTTTGATTTACTATAGTGATCACTATGAAAACTTTGATTAACTATTGTGAAAACTTTGATTTACTATAGTGATAACTATGACACTATAGTGATCACTTTGAAAACTTTGATTTACTATAGTGATCACTTTGACACTTTGATTTACTATAGATAACTATAGTAAACTATAGTTAAGTATTGTTAACTATGGTATTTTTTGTTAGGGTACACACGCATAATAATCTTCCTTCAAATAATCATATTTGTCTCATTTTACCAGTCAACCCTTTGGGTTCCATCAAAATCCGAAAACAAAACCTGTGGCAGTTTTGTACTTCATCTGGCAACATCAACAAATTCAATAAACTTTACAACCAGGAATATAGTTTTGCAGCCAAAGGTTTGTTATGTTTATACATCATAGATACCAGTAAATAGTTCTTTCTAACTTCGTGTATGAAAGGCATGCGCTTCATGAAACTCACACTTTTTATTTTGTAGGGAGGTAGCGACATGAGAGTAACTGTGTTGGAATGCAAGACCTGGAAAGAAGGGAGGTCCCTTGCAGACAAAAGAGTGCTACTTGACGTGGTCAAGGAGGCAAAATCAGAGAAAGATAAGGATGAAGGAAAAATACTTATTTTGTCCAGGTACGTCTCAGCTCTGTGTGATTTTGGGCAATTTTCTAATGAAAATCTACCCTTTATATCAGTAACATCAGTCTATACATTTTAACAATGAATCCCAGCATATTTATCGACATCAATATACCGATCTATTTTTACTTGATTTATTGCATGTGTCTGTTAGTGATGGAGCTACACGATGTGGGGCGTTTGCTGTTGTCTATAACGCCCTGGAACAACTCTCAATGGATAAAGAAGTGGATATCTTCACCATCACACGTCAACTTCAGATTCGTAGACCGGAGTTTGTATCTACCTTGGTGAGAATGTTTGATCTTTCAGTATGTGTGAGGCTTAACCTTGAAAAAATGTTATGATTGCTAACATTTTAATTAATTTTGGGAATTTTAATTGTGCAACACCTGTGATTTTTGCATAATTGCATTTAAGGTGAATTTTCCTCGAAATCTTATATATGTAACTTAAGCTAGTGGTCCAATTAAGGCAATTAACCACTCTGAAGTAACAGTTATGTTAGTATTTCTAGAAGATTTGGATACATTTAATTTCAGCATAAACTACATTTCTGCTGAAATTTCCCTGCTGAAATCACTCATATTTCCATCAAAAATATAAAATGTACGATAAACTAGATTTCTATGCTATATTTTAGATAATATTTATTGTTAAATCTGAGTCCCGGCTGGATATTGTTCGCTTGTGATTGTTCATTCATCATTGGAGGTGAAATTTTATATGGTTACGTAGTACTGTTTCATATGTAACAGAAAATTGATAGCTGTCCTGTTATTACTACATAGAAGTCAGCCTCAGTCTATTATCACTTACTGTTAGTGGTACAGCAATCATCAAAACAAGGAGTTTTTTTTTTCCGTATGATCGGTTTGGAGTAAATTTTGACAAAGGATCAGTTGACTGAAAGGTGTCTTAAAGTCGACTGAAGGAGACTGAATGCAGACCTCTGCCATTCAGTGACATTTCCCGACCTTTCAGTGACCATTCAGTTAAAAGAATGGTGTTGGTTCATCCTGTGTGAGTTGTTTCCCCTTTTACATCAATGTACATACCATTTACTTCATTATTGCTGTTGATTTTTTTTGTATTTATATGTAGTTCATACAATTCAAGAATCTGCGTTATATGGTAAATTGAAAACAACTATCATTTTTAGACTAAGAGCACTGAACACCATGTTTTCTGCATTTTTAGGAGGAATACCAGCTTTGTTATGATGTCATTGCTGAATACATGCAGAATGACAGTGTTTACGCAAACTGTTAAACAAAGGGAGAAAACTTTATAACCTTAAAAGACTGCAAAAGATAATAATGGACCCCATTTGTGTCATTACTGTGCAATTTTGAATTCAATAACATAACTAAACACAGAAGAGCTCGAGACTTGTTATTCAAATGGAACTACAAAATTACTAACTTTTAGCTTGTTTCAACACCTTTCTCCTTGATTAATTTAAATAAACTTATTGTTAATTCGTTTTTCATTCACTTGCTTTTTAGTTTTTATTTATTACATCACTTAGTATTTTTCGGTGTTTTTTTTTTCTTACAATAAGATGAACTTTGTGAAATGTCAATTCATGCTTTTGATTTCTATTGATTTGCAAAGTACTTGTCGATTATGTAATGTTTTATATCCAAATTTTATTTATTTCATCGGTTTGTGTATTTTTCTATGTTTGTTTTTTAATTACCACATTAATATTGTGAAATATCTTCTTTTTTGCCTTTTGACGCCGTTAAAATTTCAAACCAATCTTAAAGGGGCTGGAGCACATATTTGAAATTAATATTTTCTTAAAAAAATAAATAAATAAATAAATAAAAAAAATTTAACAAAAATAGTAAAATACCATGACTTAAATGTCGCTAGAGCATTTCACATCGAAACATAATTAAATCATGTTCAGAAACTTTTTTTATCTGGAAAATATAAAAAGTACGAAGTTCGGGACGCGTTAGATTTTCACATATCCTTGCGCTTTCACGAAGTACACTTTATCCTTAAGGACATATGCAACGTACCTTACCTACTTATAATTTTTCATGATATTCTTAATTTAAGATTATAGTGCCATCAAATGTTGGTCGACAAAAAATCAGCATGAATTACCAGGGGTTTTGAAAAGATGACAATTGATGATAATTCTTGTATTATTTAAAGAAAAATAAACAAAAATTACTAAGCATAAATTCTAGATGTTTTGTTTATCCAAAATTGTTATAGAAGAAGTGTACAACAGCATATATAGACATAGAAATGTAGCACACAATTCCTTTAAGTAGTGGAACTCTTCAACTCCACGGAAAAAGACAATAAAGTTCAAACTACATTGCGTATGTCCTTAATACTTAAGAAAAATATAAATTATGTAGTATATTAATGAAAAATATTATTACCATAATCCGGAAAATTCAGAGTAGTTTACAAACTAGATGTTTGACATGATGCTATGAATAATGTCGTCATTGAATTCTAAGAATATTCATGTTAGTTCAATTCATTAACCTTAATTTATTTCTGGAGTAAAAATTGAAATTTTATATTGTAAGAAAAAAACGCAAAACAAATGTGTCCAAGCCCCTTTAAGTACAACGAAGTCTTTTCTTTAATTTGTGAGAACATTTTATGGTAGCATGTATCATTTTACCGGCATTGTACTTGTTGTATATTGTACTGACTTCTAACACTCATTATAGGATATAAAAACGTCTAATTTTAACAGCTACTGTTCATTTATATTTATCCAGTTTTTCTTCTTTTCTCATTTGCTTTTCAGTTTTTCAACGTTTTTTTTTACATTTGTCGTATTTAAATAAAAAAAATGTTTAAATTTTTTTTTTTGTTTCTTTGTGTTTTTGTGCGTTTTTTTTAATTTCATTAAAGAAAAAGGCTAAAGTGAGTTATTTTAATAAATAATTTTTTTTTTCTATCGCACGTCCATTTGAGTTTTAAAATTTTCACAATTTAACCAGACTTGCAGCAATGCATTTTATGGCAAATGAAATGTATGTTTGTTCTCCTCAAAAGCTACGCCTTCTTTAATGTCAATATTATCAACATGAAATGGTAAAAACAGGCTGCAGCTGGGAAACATGGAAAAAGTCTTCTAGAACCAGTGGATACCTTCTGAATGAAGACCGTTTGTTCTTCCATCTTCTGTTCCGTATCAAATCTCACAGACAAGAAGGGCAATGAAATCACACATGCTATTTTATATCTTAACAATTTTCAAGTGTTTTGGATCATATTATAGTCTTTATATGTTAAAGTCTTGATCTTTAACATTGACATATTTTAACCACGTTCAAGTCTTTTCCCAGATCAATTTAAAGGTTTAGTCTTAATCTTAAACATTGAGACACCATTGAATCAGGTCTTGCAGACGTGCGACTACATTAACATAAATAGAAAATACACTAAACAAAATTGCTAACGCACCACTTGTTAGTCTTATTTGTGAACTGAACATTTGCCTGATCGGTACTAGTATATATAATATGCCAACTTTTCCAAAACAGTGGGGTTGACAAATGTCTTGGTGTCATGACAAGACCCTGTAATGACCTTTATGCCGAAAACCAATTTCCCGACGAGCACTGCGAACCGTTTTTGCCATGATATGAAGTTGGTGATTACCATTGGTGGTCCATGAGGTTGCGACGGGAGCAGTCTCCCACTTAAAAAGCAAATAATATACAGCGATTGACTATCATATCGCCTAGTAGTCATCCAGTACCTTGGTGTCCATACCTAATCCGCCCACCTTTCGGTTGCCCCAATTTTGTGGAACAATCTTGAAATTATCGTGTGGTGCTTACTTAATGCCGTGGCTATCTATAGTAAACATTTTTTGTTAATCTATTTACAACAATTTTTCAGTAGAGGAATGGATGATTTTTTAATTGTTTTAATTTTTCATAAAGAGCTAAATCCGCGAAGGGGCTAAATCGGCCTATTTTTTCAGGAAAATCAAACTGAGGGGAAGAAGAAAATAAACAATAGAAATATTATCCTTGGGTATCAAACTTAAATTGTTTATGCCAATTTTTTTATTTGATGACGTCATATTTGTACAGAAAACGTCTAAACACGTGCACTTTGCTAGTTTTTATCAAAGAAAAGCATTTTTTCGTCTTTGGTTCAAATTTTGCTTGGCCATACCCTTCGAACAAAATAAAATTTATACCATTGAAAAGAGGATTAAAATATGAATAAATAAAGTATATTTTTATTTTGTTCGAGGGGTGTGGCCTCATCGAAATTAATACTTTTCTTTCGATTCAAATACCTTAGCACTGACTCACACTTTGAAAATAGCGGGGATTACCCTAAATTAATAGAAGAGAAAAAGATTCTATATTGTTTTTAAAATATTAAAAAGTTTCGAAATGCGAATGTTATATTTATTATAAGTTATTCTGTGTTGTGGTGCAAAAAAACTACGAAAAACTCTCGCTAAGCATGACTGCATGTATACATGCAGTAATGTCGACATTTTGTGTACTACGTGCCTCAGTCCTGACCCAAGACTTTTCCTTCTAGTAGCTGATCTATATTTTACTCATCATTATGCTAAAATGTTGAAAAAAATAAGGTGTTCTCTTTTCCTCTGACAGCCTATTTATTCATACACTGAATTGGTTTTCCAACTCCCGGCTCCTCGTCACCATGGTCACTATGTAATCAAAGGGAGATCACCCGAGAAACATGTAGGCTACATCTTTATTTTCTCCTGAGTGGCCGTGTCGGAATAACCTAGAATATTAAACAAATTACATCGGATGCAACTACCAAGACGTATTTATAATGATTGTTTTGCCACCTAACAAAACATGAATGTCGTGAAGTCTGCATCGACAGCACACAAATGGTTAATGTTACGCAATAGAGTCTGTTATAACTATATGTATTATAATTATAACCCATACCCAACATGCGTTTCAGAAATCGCCAGTGGCATTTTAAGACAAAAGATTAATCAATATTTATTAGTGAAAACCTTTACTGATCCGAGACCTCTTAATATAAATTATGTTACGAAGTACTGAACCTAGAAAATTCGAGTTGACAAATCAAATAAACAAAAGGTTGATTTTACAGTAAGATCGCGTGTAATTTTTGTAATAGGCCTCTACAAGAAAAATGTCCTATATTGTATAAACGAATAACTTACTACCAAGGCAGTGACAACTCTTTAAGGTTTTAAGTAATTTCAGTATCGCATGCATGCTGTGACATAGCCAACACATGAAAAAAAAAATGTCAAAGGGAGGCTACTTGCTATCTCTTTCTATTTTGAGTTACTCCGCTTAAATGTAACGGGCCCAAGGGAGAGAGGGCAACCAAGATTAGCAAGCATGTAGTAGTGTACATTCATAAATAGGGGATCGGAGCATTGATATAAAATAAGAAGCCCCCCCCCCCCAAAAAAAAAAAACAAAAAAACAAAACAAAACAAAAAAACTATTACATTTACAGAAAAAAGACAGGGGTTATTTGGGGAGGGGGTTTCGGGATTCCCACCCTCACTCATTAAATACATGGGACAGTTCGACCAATTACTGCTGCCATTTAAACAAGAAAGTTGTAAAGTGAATAAATAACAATGCCAATTATATGAGTCCTTGTATATATAGTATAAAAAAAAGTCGACAGCAGTTTTCATTTTTTTTTCAATCTCCTTGATAAAAATCTCATTTAAAAACGATTGTTTTTCGTGACTCGGTCATTGCATTTAATTATAGATAACAGGCCTGTAGGTAGCAATTTCAGTTGGGGGGTAGGGTGGGGAGGGAGGCACAGCTATACATTTTCAGTTGGGGACACTATCAACTACCAAAATTCCTTGACAAGCAAAAAAAGAAAAGGGGGAGGGGGAGCATCAGACATTTTTATTGACGGGATAGCATATAGTAGCTTTGTTTGATATAGTATTCCATATATCGGCAGAATTATTTTGGGGGGGGGGGGTGTGCATGGCCAACCCCGGTTCCTACGGCCATGTAACCTGAATGTATTATTTTTATTAACGGTTATAACTGCTAATTTTGCCTGTCAATCATATCTGGTTTTTTTTTCTTTTTTTAATTTTGAAAGGATGTCTATATAGAATATATTTTCATAGATCGGGCATTTAAACATGGTATTTTTTTCAGGGGGGGGGGAGGGTATGGTAATATGTCGCTCGACATGTGGTCCATAATTGTTTTTTTTCCGACGGTCTGTAATGATAGCCATTTACTACTGCCAGTAGCTGTTTTTCATATATTTTTGTTTAATTACCAAGAGTAACGATCCGAAAACGTCCAAG